AGAAGAGATCCTGGAGATGAAGACTAAAGCTGAGCAGGAACATCATGATGTAAACCTAAAAATACAAGAGTTAAACACGCTGCAAGCACAGATTATTGAAGAAAAAGAGCAACTACAAGAAATCAGAAATAAGGTTTTGAATGAAACAGCCACACTTGAGATGAGAGCTGCTGAGATAATTCAACAACAACACACACTGGATGCGAATCTGAAAGAGATGAGATACGAGAGAAATGAACTTCATAGGATGCAAAAGGAACTTCAGGCTGAAAGACACCAAATGGAAAAGGAAATGAATACCAAAACTGATGAACTAATCAGAGAAAGACAAGAAATTGAAATGAGCAAGAACAGGACAAACAAACTAACAGAGGACATGGACATCATGAAAGCTAAACTTATTGCACAAGAAGAAGAAATGCAAGTTGAAAAAGAAAAACTAAATGAAGAGAGAAAAGAATTTGAGCAATTAAAGAGTGATACAGAAAGAGAGAAACAAGAACTCAGTAAGAATAAAGACATCATGAATACACTAAAAGAGGAACTTCACCTGGAAAAGAAGAGAATGAATGACGAGAGGGAAGAGATGGATGTGAACAGTAAGAAGGTTCAATTACAGATACAGACAGACAAACAGATGATTGCTAAAATGAAGGCCCAACTCCAAAGTGAGAAAGATGTATTTGACCATATCAGAGATGAACTGACAGGGAAGAGAGAAGAAATGGAGAAAGAATGGGCAGCATTAGAAGCAGAAAAACAAACTCTTCAGCAAAACAGCAATGAAATCTTGAGACAAAGGGAAGACACAGAAAAGGAAATAGAGGGCATTTTGAAAAAGAAAGAAGAACTGGAAAAGCTTCAGACAGAAAACCTGAAACAAAAAACTGAATGTGAAAACATTATTACAACAGAGAAATATTTGCTTGAAATGTTAAGAACTGAGTTAGATCATAAGCAGCAGAAGGTGGAAGATGACAGGAAGGTGATTGAACAGGAAAGAAAAGACTTGGAGAAGACAAAGTTTGAAATAATGACACAAAAAGTGCAAATGGAGAAAGATCTTGAGAAGGAAATCAAATCAGAGAGAGCGTTAAAGGTCCAGAGAATGCAAGAGACTGATTTAGAAAAGGATGAAATTGAAAAGGAGAAATATATAGTTCAGAAACTAATGGATGAGGTAGAGGAACAGAGAAATTATCTAAAACTTCAAGAAGAGGAAACCAAACTTGAAAGGCAAAAGATCAGTGATGAAAAAGATTTTCTCACTCAAACTAAGACTGAACTGCAAAGAAAAAGCGAACAAATTGGAAATACAGAAGAGGAATTAAAGAAGGAGAGAGAAACACTAAAGGAAATGGAAGCTCATCTACAAAAAGACAAAGAAGAAATTAAGAGTGTCATTGAAGAAACAAACAGACGAAAAGAAGATCTGGAAAAAATGAACACAGACATAAATAAACAAAAACAAGAGCTGAAGAACTGCAGAGACCTTCTAGAAGAAGAAAGAGAAGAATTAAACCAAAAATGGACACAGTTACAACTGAGAATTGATGAATTTGATGCTCAAGTCAGTAAACAGAAGGAAGATTATATGAAGGAACAGAAAAAGATGAAAGAAGAAAGAAAAAGTATAGAAGAAACCAAGGCTAAGATCCTGGAGCTGAAGACTAAAGCTGAACAGGAACAGATTACGAAAGAAAAAGAGAAAGAAGAAGAAATGAGAGTTAAATCAAACATGGAGAAGGAAAAACTTGATCACATAAAGACTGAACTGGAAAGAGAGAAAACTGAAATAGATCATGAGCAGAAGAAAATGGATGATGACAGCAAGATGATTGAACAGGAAAGAAAAGAACTGCATAAGATGAGGTCTGACATGATGACAGAGAAAGAGCAAATGGAAGACATGAGAGAAGCAATCAAACTTGAGAGATCGGCACTTGAACAGAAAATGCAAAAGATTGATCTAGAAAAGGATGAAATTGGAAAGAACAAAGAAATAGTTCAGAAATTAATGGATAAAGTAGAAGAGCAGAGAAATTATATTAAACTCCAGAAAGAAGAACTTGACCTTGAAAGACAAAAGATCACTGATGAAAACTATCTTCTAGCTCAAAGTAAGACAGAGCTGCAAAAAGAAAGTGAACAAATCAAATACATGCAGGAGGAAATAAAGAAGGAGAGAGAAACACTGAAGGAAATGGAAGCGCACCTACAAAAGGAAAAGGAAGAACTTGAGAGTGTCACTGAAGAAACAAATAGACGAAAAGAAAACCTGGAAATGATGAGCGCAAACATAAATGAACAAAAACTAGAGCTGAGCAAATACAGAGAGATTCTAGAGCAAGAGAAAGATGAAATAAACAATAAATGGATACAGTTACAGCAGAGAATTGATGAATTTGATACTCAAGTCAGACAACAGAAGGAAAAGGATTTAATGAAACAGGAGGAGATGGAAGAAGAAAGAAAAAGTCTAGAACAGACCAAAGTCAAGATCCTGGAGCTGAAGACTAAAGCTGAGCAGGAACAACAAGACATAAGCCTAAAAATACAAGAGTTGAACACACTACAAGAACACATTATGAAAGAAAAAGAGAAAGAAGAAGAAATGAGAGTAAAAGCAAAGATGGAAAGAGAAGAACTTCATCAGATAAAGAGGGAATTGGAACGAGAGAAAACTGAAATGGAAAATGACAGGAAGATGATTGAACAGGAAAGAGAAGACCTGGAGAAGATGCGGTCTGAAACAATGACACAAAGAGAAAAAATGGAAGACATGAGAGAAGCAATCAAATTAGAGAGATCAGCACTTGTCCAGAAAACAAAAGAGACTGATCTAGAAAAGAATAAAAAGTACAAAGAAAAAGTTCAAAAACTATTGGACCAGGTGGACGAACAGATAAATTATATTACACTCCAAAAAGAAGAACTAGACTCGCTGAAAGCACAGATTATTAAAGAAAAAGAAATTAGCATAAAAGCAAAGATGGAAAGAGAGGAACAAAGAAGAAAGAAAAAGTATAGAAGAAACCAAAGCTAAGATCCTGGAGCTGAAGACTAAAGCTGAACAGGAACAGATTACGAAAGAAAAAGAGAAAGAAGAAGAAATGGGAGTTAAATCAAACATGGAGAAGGAAAAACTTGATCACATAAAGACTGAACTGGAAAGAGAGAAAACTGAAATAGATCATGAGCAGAAGAAAATGGATGATGACAGCAAGATGATTGAACGGGAAAGAAAAGAACTGCATAAGATGAGGTCTGACATGATGACAGAGAAAGAGCAAATGGAAGACATGAGAGAAGCAATCAAACTTGAGAGATCGGCACTTGAACAGAAAATGCAAAAGATTGATCTAGAAAAGGATGAAATTGAAAGGAACCAAACAATAGTTCAGAAATCAATGGATAAAGTAGAAGAGCAGATAAATTATATTAAACTCCAGAAAGAAGAACTTGACCTTGAAAGACAAAAGATCACTGATGAAAACTATCTTCTAGCTCAAAGTAAGACAGAGCTGCAAAAAGAAAGTGAACAAATCAAATACATGCAGGAGGAAATAAAGAAGGAGAGAGAAACACTGAAGGAAATGGAAGCGCACCTACAAAAGGAAAAGGAAGAACTTGAGAGTGTCACTGAAGAAACAAAGAGACAGAAAAGGGATCTGGAAAAGATGAGCACAAACATAAATGAACAAAAACAAGAGTTGAGTAAATGCAGAGAGCTTCTAGAGCAAGAGAAAGATGAAATAAACAATAAATGGACACAGTTACAGCAGAGAATTAATGAATTTGATACTCAAGTCAGACAACAGAAGGAAAAGGATTTAATGAAACAGGAGGAGATGGAAGAAGAAAGAAAAAGTCTAGAACAGACCAAAGTCAAGATCCTGGAGCTGAAGACTAAAGCTGAGCAGGAACAACAAGACATAAGCCTAAAAATACAAGAGTTGAACACACTACAAGAACACATTATGAAAGAAAAAGAGAAAGAAGAAGAAATGAGAGTAAAAGCAAAGATGGAAAGAGAAGAACTTCATCAGATAAAGAGGGAATTGGAACGAGAGAAAACTGAAATGGAAAATGACAGGAAGATGATTGAACAGGAAAGAGAAGACCTGGAGAAGATGCGGTCTGAAACAATGACACAAAGAGAAGAAATGGAAGATATGAGAGAAGCAATCAAATTAGAGAGATCAGCACTTGTCCAGAAAACACAAGAGATTGAGCTAGAAAAGAATAAAAAGTACAAAGAAAAAGTTCAGAAACTATTGGACCAGGTGGACGAACAGAGAAATTATATTACACTCCAAAAAGAAGAACTAGACTCGCTGAAAGCACAGATTAGTAAAGAAAAAGAAATTCGAATAAAAGCAAAGATGGAAAGAGAGGAACTTGACCAGATAAGGAGTGAACTGGAAAGAGAGAAATCTGAAATTGATCATGAGAAGAAGAAAATGAATAATGACAGAAAGGTGATTGAACAGGAAAGAAACAACCTGGAGAAGATGAAGTCTGAAATAGTGACACAAAGAGAACAAATGGAAAAACACTTGACAGAGACTATCAAACTAGAAAGATCAGCACTTGACCAGAAAATGCAAGAGATTGATCTAGAAAAGGATGAAATTGGAAAGAACAAAGAAATAGTTCAGAAATTAATGGATAAAGTAGAAGAGCAGAGAAATTATATTAAACTCCAGAAAGAAGAACTTGACCTTGAAAGACAAAAGATCACTGATGAAAAATATCTTCTAGCTCAAAGTAAGACAGAGCTGCAAAAAGAAAGAGAACAAATCAAATACATGGAGGAAATAAAGAAGGAGAGAGAAACACTGAAGGAAATGGAAGCTCATCTACAAAAGGAAAAGGAAGAAATTGAGAGTGTCACTGAAGAAACAAACAGACAGAAAGAGGATCTGGATGAACAAAAACAAGAGTTGAAGAACAGCAGAGACCTTCTAGAACACGAAAGAGAAGAAATAAACCATAAATGGACAGAGTTACAACTGAGAATTGATGAATTTGATGCTCAAGTCAACAAACAGAAGGAAGAATATCTAACAGAACGAAAGGAAATAGAAGAAGAAAGTAAAGGTCTAGAAGAGATCCTGGAGATGAAGACTAAAGCTGAGCAGGAACATCATGATGTAAACCTAAAAATACAAGAGTTAAACACGCTGCAAGCACAGATTATTGAAGAAAAAGAGCAACTACAAGAAATCAGAAATAAGGTTTTGAATGAAACAGCCACACTTGAGATGAGAGCTGCTGAGATAATTCAACAACAACACACACTGGATGCGAATCTGAAAGAGATGAGATACGAGAGAAATGAACTTCATAGGATGCAAAAGGAACTTCAGGCTGAAAGACACCAAATGGAAAAGGAAATGAATACCAAAACTGATGAACTAATCAGAGAAAGACAAGAAATTGAAATGAGCAAGAACAGGACAAACAAACTAACAGAGGACATGGACATCATGAAAGCTAAACTTATTGCACAAGAAGAAGAAATGCAAGTTGAAAAAGAAAAACTAAATGAAGAGAGAAAAGAATTTGAGCAATTAAAGAGTGATACAGAAAGAGAGAAACAAGAACTCAGTAAGAATAAAGACATCATGAATACACTAAAAGAGGAACTTCACCTGGAAAAGAAGAGAATGAATGACGAGAGGGAAGAGATGGATGTGAACAGTAAGAAGGTTCAATTACAGATACAGACAGACAAACAGATGATTGCTAAAATGAAGGCCCAACTCCAAAGTGAGAAAGATGTATTTGACCATATCAGAGATGAACTGACAGGGAAGAGAGAAGAAATGGAGAAAGAATGGGCAGCATTAGAAGCAGAAAAACAAACTCTTCAGCAAAACAGCAATGAAATCTTGAGACAAAGGGAAGACACAGAAAAGGAAATAGAGGGCATTTTGAAAAAGAAAGAAGAACTGGAAAAGCTTCAGACAGAAAACCTGAAACAAAAAACTGAATGTGAAAACATTATTACAACAGAGAAATATTTGCTTGAAATGTTAAGAACTGAGTTAGATCATAAGCAGCAGAAGGTGGAAGATGACAGGAAGGTGATTGAACAGGAAAGAAAAGACTTGGAGAAGACAAAGTTTGAAATAATGACACAAAAAGTGCAAATGGAGAAAGATCTTGAGAAGGAAATCAAATCAGAGAGAGCGTTAAAGGTCCAGAGAATGCAAGAGACTGATTTAGAAAAGGATGAAATTGAAAAGGAGAAATATATAGTTCAGAAACTAATGGATGAGGTAGAGGAACAGAGAAATTATCTAAAACTTCAAGAAGAGGAAACCAAACTTGAAAGGCAAAAGATCAGTGATGAAAAAGATTTTCTCACTCAAACTAAGACTGAACTGCAAAGAAAAAGCGAACAAATTGGAAATACAGAAGAGGAATTAAAGAAGGAGAGAGAAACACTAAAGGAAATGGAAGCTCATCTACAAAAAGACAAAGAAGAAATTAAGAGTGTCATTGAAGAAACAAACAGACGAAAAGAAGATCTGGAAAAAATGAACACAGACATAAATAAACAAAAACAAGAGCTGAAGAACTGCAGAGACCTTCTAGAAGAAGAAAGAGAAGAATTAAACCAAAAATGGACACAGTTACAACTGAGAATTGATGAATTTGATGCTCAAGTCAGTAAACAGAAGGAAGATTATATGAAGGAACAGAAAAAGATGGAAGAAGAAAGAAAAAGTCTAGAAGAAACCAAAGCTAAGATCCTGGAGCTGAAGACTAAACAGGAACAGATTACGAAAGAAAAAGAGAAAGAAGAAGAAATGAGAGTTAAATCAAACATGGAGAAGGAAAATCTTGATCACATAAAGAGTGAACTGGAAAGAGAGAAAACTGAAATAGATCACGAGCAGAAGAAAATGGATGATGACAGGAAGATGATTGAACAGGAAAGAAAAGAACTGCATAAGATGAGGTCTGACATGATGACAGAGAAAGAGCAAATGGAAGACATGAGAGAAGCAATCAAACTTGAGAGATCGGCACTTGACCAGAAAATGCAAAAGATTGATCTAGAAAAGGATGAAATTGAAAGGAACGAAGCAATAGTTCAGAAATCAATGGATAAAATAGTAGAGCAGATAAATTATATTAAACTCCAGAAAGAAGAACTTGACCTTGAAAGACAAAAGATCACTGATGAAAACTATCTTCTAGCTCAAAGTAAGACAGAGCTGCAAAAAGAAAGTGAACAAATCAAATACATGCAGGAGGAAATAAAGAAGGAGAGAGAAACACTGAAGGAAATGGAAGCTCATCTACAAAAGGAAAAGGAAGACATTGAGAGTGTCACTGAAGAAACAAAGAGACAGAAAGAGGATCTGGAAAAGATGAGCACAAACATAAATGAACAAGAACAAGAGTTGAGTAAATACAGAGAGCGTCTAGAGCAAGAGAAAGATGAAATAAACACTAAATGGATACCGTTACAGCAGAGAATTGATGAATTTGATACTCAAGTCAGACAACAGAAGGAAAATGATTTAATGAAAGAGGAGGAGATGGAAGAAGAAAGAAAATGTCTAGAACAGACCAAAGTCAAGATCCTGGAGCTGCAGACTAAAGCTGAGCAGGAGCGTCAAGACATAAGCCTAAAAATACAAGAGTTAAACACACTGCGAGAACATATTATGAAAGAAAAAGAGAAAGATGAAGACATGAGAGTAAAAGCAAAGATAGAGAGAGAAGAACTTGATCAGATAATAAGGGATTTGGAAGGAGAGAAAACTGAAATGGACAATGATAAGAAGATGATTGAACTGCAAAGAAAAGACCTGCAAAAGATAAGGTCTGACATAATGACAGAAAGAAAGCAAATGGAAGACATGAGAGAAGCAATCAAACTAGAGAGATCAGCACTTGTCCAGAAAATACAAGACATTGATCTAGAAAAGGATGAAATTGGAAAGAACAAAGAAATAGTTCAGAAATTAATGGATGAAGTAGAAGAGCAGAGAAATTATACTAAACTCCAGAGAGAAGAACTTGACCTTGAAAGACAAAAGATCAATGATGAAAATTTTATTCTAGCTCAAAGTAAGACAGAGCTGCAAAAAGAAAGCAAACAAATCAAATACATGGAGGAGGAACTAAAGAAAGAGAGAGAAACACTGAAGGAAATAGAAGCTCATCTACAAAAGGAAAAGGAAGAAATTGAGAGTGTCACTGAAGAAACAAAGAGGCAGAAAAAGGATCTGGAAATGAATACAGACATAACTGAACAAAAACAAGAGCTGAAGAATTGCAGAGACCTTCTAGAACAAGAAAGAGAAGAATTAAACCATAAATGGACACAGTTACAACTGAAAATTGATGAATTTGATGCTCAAGTCAGTAAAGAGAAGGAAGAATATCTAACAGAACAAAAGGAAATAGAAGAAGAAAGAAAAGGTCTAGAAGAGACCAAAGTCAAGCTTCTGGAGCTGAAAACTAAAGCTGAGCAGGAACATCAAGACATAAGCCTAAAAATGCAAGAGTTGAACACACTGCAAGAACATATTAAGAAAGAACAAGAGAAAGAAGAAGAAATGAGAGTAAAGGAAAAGATGGAGAGAGAAGAACTTGATCAGATGAAGAGTGAACTGGAAAGAGAGAAAACTAAAATAGATCATGAGCAGAAGAAAATGAATGATGCCAGAAAGATCATTGAACAGGAAAGAAATGACCTGGAGAAGATGAGGTCTGAAATAATGTTACAAAGAAAGCAAATAGAAGAAGAGAGATCAGAGCTAGACAACAAAATAAAAAAGACTGATCTAGAAAAATCTAATATTGAGAAAAGCAAAGAAATTGTACAGAAATTATTGGATGAGGAGGAAGAACAGAGAAATTATATTAAACTTCATGAAGAAGAATTAGAACTTGAGAGACAAAAGATCAATGATGAAAAAGATTTTCTGGCTCAAATAAAGACTGAACTGCAAAAAGAAAGTGAACGAATAAGATACATGGAAGAGGAAATTAAAAAGGAGAGAGAAACACTGAAAGAAAAGGAAGTGCATCTACAAAAGGAAAAGGAAGAAATTGAGAGTGTCACTGAAGAAACAAACAGACGAAAAGAAGATCTGGGAAGGATGAACACAGACATTAATAAACAAAAACAAGAGCTGAAGAACTGCAGAGACCTTCTAGAAAAACAAAGAGAAGAAATAAATCATAAATGGACAGAATTACAACAGAGAATTGATGAATATGAGCGGTCAAAGACTGAGTCTATGAGGAATGTTCTGGAGGAGACCAGAAAGAAAGACGAAAAAACAGAAATGGAAGAAAAACTTAAACAGGCTAACAAGGAATATGAAAGTGTCATAGAAGAAACAAACAGGAGAAGGGGTGAACTAGAGAAAATCATGTTTGATATATCACAACAAAATCAAAAGTTTGAGACAAACAAAGATCTTCTGGAAAAAGATAGAAATAACATTGAAAAGGAAAGAGAAGATTTGCAAAGACAAGCTGATGACCTGGAGACGCACATGACAGAACAAAAAGAAAAAGAAGAGATGAGTAAAAGATCAATGGATGAAGAGAAGAAGCTTCTTCAGCACAAGGCTGGTGAAATCCTGAGACAGAGAAATGAATTAGAGAAAGAAAAAGACGACACGACGAAGAAGTGGAATGAGCTGGATGTTCTCCAGAAGACATTACAAAAACAAAGAGACGAAATTGAAGAAATCAAAAATGACTTACAGACTGAAAAGGCTGAAATTAATCAACAGCAGCAAAGACTGGAGAAGAGTATAAGAGCTGTGAATGAGGAGAGGAGAGATCTGGAGAACATGAGGAATGATTTTGAAAAATACAGACAACAAATGGAAGAAGAGATGAGAGTAAAAACAAAGATGGAGAGAGAGGAACTTGATCAACTGATGGCCAAGATATTGATAGAACAAAAAGAAACTGATAGGAGCAAGGATATGATAGACCATCTAAAGAAGGAAATGGAGCAAACAAAAGCCAAACTCAATGCTCAAGAGGAGCAAATCAAACTGGAATTGCAAATAGTGCAATATGAGAGGCAAGATCTGGAACAGTCCAAGGCTGAAATCAAGAGACAGACTGATGAAACTGAGATCATGAAAGAGCAGGCACACCAGTTAGAAAAAGAGAAAGATTTGTCTGAAACATTAAAAGAAGAATGTCAATCTGGACAGCTTCTTCAACAGAAGAGAGAAGAAATGGCCTCTCAAGGAAAACAGATACCGATAGATGAAGTCAACAGACTCTTGTCTGAGATTCAAAGGGAAAGGGAAGCACTTGAAAGAAACAAAAAAATCCTTGAACATCAGAGAGAGGCACTGGACGAGATGAAGAGAAAACAACCAACACAGAGGCTGCAATTAATTTTGGTTAGTTCTGCTACACAAACATCTAAACTAGAAGACATACATGTGGGTGACATTTCAGCCCCTCAGGAACAGATTGTTGAGGAACACACAGGCATTCATAAGGAATATACAACTTTCATAACAAAAGAGACGGAAGATGAATTAGAGAGAATGAGAGATCAGGAGGACACAGAGCTCAAAATGAGAAGTGAAGAAACTGAAATGGACTCAAGCCAAGAAGACAATGCACTGACAACAGAATATAAAGATATACCTGATCCATCCATGGCAGTAAAGTTGGAGTTCAATAAAGATGAAGCCGATGGCCTTACTGAAACGTTGATGACTGAGAAGAGGGAACTAGAAAAGACAAGACTTGTTTTACAGAGAGACCAGAAAGAGACTGAGACAATGGGACAACACACTGACAGAGAGAAGAAGAATCTGGAGAAATATAAAGCCGCTCTTGAAAAACAATATGAAGAGATGGAGTTATGCAGACAGAATATGGAAAATGAAAGATCTGAGTTAGAAATGACTCAAGATAAAATTAAGATGGACATGGAAAAAATTATAATGGAGATTAAGAGCAAGCAGGAGAAAATAGAAAACATGGAAGTTCAACTTCAAGAAAAGAAGAGAGAAATGGAAACCATCTCTGTTGAGATGAACCAGAGACAAGAGGAGTTGGACTTCATAAATACAGAGATAAAAAGAAAGAGACAAGAGATGGTGGACACCAAAGAAATGGAGGAACATGAGTTAACTGACATACTTCCAGAGAGAGAGGAGTCTATAAAAAGACACCTGGAGGAAATACAGAATCAAAAGGAGGCATTACGAAAGGAGAGGGGTGAAGTTGAAAAAATACTCACTGGGCTGCAGAAGGAGCAAATGGAAATGGAGATGCGTCAGGCAATGCTGAACTCAGAAAGAAATGAACTGAATAGAATGAGAGTCGATCTGGAGACACAAAAAGAGGAGTTTAGGCTTATGCAACAAAACATAGAGACAGAAAGAGACAAGCTGGAATCAAGGTTAAGGAGAGCAGAGGACATAGAGAGACTTTTGGATGATGTACTGAAAGAAAAGGAAAGGGTAGAAGAAATGGCAGCTCAACTTGTCAAAGAACAGGAAGAGTTTAAAATGATTATGACTGAGGCAAATAAATGGATAAACAAGATTAAACAGATTGAGGAGGAAATTAAAACAAAGCAAGAAGAAATGGAGCACATTGAAGAACTGAGACAAAAAGAGCTTCATCAAAGGAGAGCAGAATCTGAAAAAATGAAGACTGAAATTGACAATGAAAAAGAAGAAATTCAGAAGATACGAAAGGAATGTGAGAGAGAAAAACATGAACTGGAGCAAATAAAAACAGATTTGCAGAAAGAAGAACCACAGAAAACCAATGCAGAAGTGCAATATGATGAAACACACAGTGTTATGCACACGTTGAAAGAAGAGAAAGAAGAAATAGAAAGGATGAAAGCTGACCTCCAGAATGAGCAGAGAGAAATTAAAAACCTGATGGACATTATAAAAAGAGAGAAGGGCGAGCTGGAAAAGAAGAAAGTTGAAATGCAGCAAATTGCTGCAGAAATAAGGGACACAGACAGTGATAAGAACTTACAAGATGAAATTATGCAGATTGAAGCAATCCTCAATGAAACCAAGAGACAGAAGAATGACCTGGAACAGATGAATGACAATTTGAACAGGGAAAAATCAGAGCTGAAAAGCACTTGTCAGTTTCTAGAAAAAGGAAAGAGAGAAGCAGAAACTAGATTACAGGATATGGTGAGTGAACTGAATATTAAGCTTAAGGAATTAGAAAATCTACAGAAGTTCAAAACAGAGGAGAGAGAGGCAGAGAAGAAAAATCTGGAGAAATTTAAGGATGAGATGGCTAAAGAACGTGAACAAATTAAAAAGGAAAATGAAGATTTAATAATGAGAAGAGATGAGCTGCTGCACATGAAAGACGAAATTCAAAAGCAGACAAAAGACCTAGAAGAAATAATGAACAAAGTGACAATGGAGAAGAGTGAGCTAGAACAAGAGAGGTGTGAAATAAACAAACAAAAACAACAACTGGAAGACATTGGGAAAGCTGCAGAAATAAAGTGGGTTGAGACACAGGTAGCCACTGAAAGGTCCAGACAAGATGACGAGGACATGCAAATCTTAATAACTGAGAGAAAAAGAATAGCACATCTGAATGATCAATTACTGAAAGAGAAAGAGGACGTTGAAACCACCAAAGAGAGAATTAATAGAGAGATGGAACATATTGAAAAGATGCAAAGCCAATTAAATGACCAAAAAGAAGAGATCAAGCTTGAAAAACAAATATTAGAAGACATAAGGACTGAGATTCAAGACAAGACAAATGCTCTAGAGAAAAGTATGCAGGACTTACAAAAAGAGAGGGAAAATCTAAATGCTTTAGTTATTCAACAACAAAAAGAAAGAGAAGATATGGATAATCTAGCAGAAGAAAGCAAAAGAAAAGAGAAGCATGCTGAAGTTGAGATACAAAGACAGTTAGAGGACATAGAAAATGACAAGGTAAGGTTGGCAAAAGAAAGGAATCAAATTGAACAGACGAATGCAGAAATACAGACTAAACATAAAGAGCTAGAGAAAATAATCAGACAACAGCAAGAGGAGATTGAAATCATGCAAAGAGAAAGAAAGGCTTTGGAGAAAATGAATGGTGAGCTAGAAAGGAAAACCACTGAAATGGAAAATAAGAGAGAGAAAGTAACTCTCTGGGAAGCAGATATACAGAAACAGAAAACCAAAGTAGAAGAGCTAAGGAACATTTTAGAAAGAGAGAAAAGTGAACTTGACAGAGAGAAAGCCGAAGTAAAACAAGAAAAACAAGAGATGGAAAACATTCTGAAAACCATCAAGAGTGAGTTGGAAGACCTAGAGCAACTTAGAAATAAATCTGAGGAAGAGAAGAAAGACATGCTGGACAGACTGTTAACAGAAAAACATGAAATGGATCAATTAAAAACTGAGTTACAGTTGGAGAAGAAGAGCATTGAAGAGGAAAAGAAAATGCTGAAGCAGTTGATGAACGAAACTGAAAATAAAAGATCTCAACTGGACAGCAACATTGTGCAAATGAACATGGACAAACGAAATATTCAAAAAGAAAAAGACTCGCTGGAGGAGATCAAGGCAGATTTACAAAGAAAGTCTGAAAAGCTTAATGAGGAAATCAGGAAAACAGACCAAATCACCTCTCAAATCAGTAAAGACCAAAAGAACATTCCAAAGAGACTGGAAGACATGAGAAGAAAAGAAGAAGAGCTCAGTACTATGCGTGCCAACATCGAAAGGCAGACAAAGTTTCTGCAATCAGATCTACTGCTACTTCAGACACAAAAGGAGAACTTAGAAAAGAGCAAAGCAGAGAATGAGACTCTAAGAGAAGATCTTGAAAAGCAAAAAGAAAAGAATGACTTGACAATGCAAGAACTGCACAAAGAGAGGCTGGCCTTGGAGCAGAAGATTACTGATATAACACAGCTAAGAGACACAGTGGAAAGCACACAGAATGAAATACGACTTAAAGAACAGGATCTGGAAAACAAAGAAAGAGAACTTGACATGCAAAGAAAAGATGTAGATAACCTAAGAAACATTGTGATGGCTGAGAAAATGCAGCTGGAAAAGAGGCACAATGTTATGAATCAACAGCAGCAGGAGGTTGATGACTTGATGAATGAAAACAGAAAAATGAGAAATGATTTGGAGAGCATGAAAACTCATCTGGAACAAGAGAGACGACAACTACAAGAAAACATCAAAACATTTGAAGATCAGAAGAACGTTTTTGATCAAATCAAAGTTGATGCAGACCAACAGACTGATGAGCTTGAGAAAATCACAGCAGATACAAAGAGGGGAAAGGAACCTCTTGGTAATGAAAGAGAGGAGACTGATGCTTTGAAGAAAGAAATCCAGAGTAAGAAAGATGAACTGCATTCATATTCAAGCTTAAATTTTGAGATTGAAAATTCCAAGCAAGAAATGGCAGAAAACAGAGATCAGTTTGAAAAAGAGATGGAAAATTTAAAGCAGAAAAGAGCAGATTTACTGACAGAAATTGATCAGCGAGCCGAGACCAAAATAAAGAAGAAAGATGTAAAAACAGCAGTGGAGAGTGAAACACAGATCCAAGCTGCTTTACAAATGGTCAGGGAGGACACTGAAGAAGAAAAGACAGATGATGAATTGCAGGCTGATCTCCAAAAACAGATGGATGAACTACAAGAACTGAGGAACACAATTGAGGTGGAAAATAATCAGATAGAAAAAAAAAAGCTCACATTAGATCAACAGCAGCAGGAATTAGAAGACATCATGACGGTCATCAAACGAGAGAGAGATGTGCTTGAGAAAGAGAAGTCTGAACTTGATGAACACAGACATATCCTCAATAAAAATATGCAGACAAAACAAGAAGAGCTTGAAAAGCTTAATAATGATATTCAAAGGGACAAAAAGGAGATTGAAAACAGCAAAAAGATAACTGAGAGTGAAAAATATTGTATCGAAAAGGAGAGAGCTGATTTAAACAGACTGAAGAAAGAGGCTGAAGTCAGCAAACAAAGCGTACAACATGAGAGAACTTTGCTGCAACAAGATAAAGACATGCTACAGACAGAAAAAGAGGACATGGAAGGCGTTATAGATGAAAAGACAAGAACAATGGAGGAACTGCAAGAGCAAATAAACAGACAATTATCTGAATTAGAGATGGTAAACATGGAGATTCAAATAAAGAGACAGGAAGCAGAAATGCATCGCTTACCAGAAGAGATGGAAACAAAAGATCATTCAAAGAGGGATGCTGATGTCCTAAGAGAGGAAGTAGAAGTACAGAAACAAAAAACAGATGAACTTGAGATATATCAAATGAAGACCACCTCAGTCGATGCTGAAACACAAACATCTTTGGATGACTTTAAGAAAACAGATGATAGCAGACAAAAGGAATTAGAAGACGAAACAACGGCAACAAAGAAAAAACAACCCACTGTGACAAAGTCAAAAGACAAGCACGCATCTGAAGTGCGAGAAATAACGGACTCTTTAAACAAAGAAATTGAAGATTTGGAGAGAATGAAGACAATGATGAAAAAAGAGAGACATGAACTGGAACAAGCAAAAGCTGACATCCAAAGGCAGAGGGAAGACTTTGAGAGAAATATGAAGGAAGTCATGAAGGAGAAGTCAAGAAATGAAGAAAAACTGCTACGACTTACACAAGACAAGGAGGATTTATCAAACAACCTTGATAAGAAAAATAAGGAAATAGAGAGCATCACAGAAACATTAATGAGAAAGTTGGGACAACTGGAAAAGACCATAGCATCACTGAAAGAAAAGAAGGAAAACATTGAAAATGAGTTGCTTCATGAACAGGAGACACTAAAAATCAAGGGAAAAACAGATGATACTTCCATTAGAAGTGACAGGGATGCTGAGAAAGTCACATACAAAAAAGGACTGGAACAAGTACAAGACACTAAAGAGGAGAAAAAGACAGACGGAGACAGCAGTCTGGAACTGACTGAGATTTATTGGGCCAAAACAGATGGAGAAACAGATGCAAAAACCTCCAAAACTGATGCCCAAAGAGAAGGTCTTCAGCTAATGGATGGCGCGACCCTAGAACGAGATGAGCTAAACATCATGAGAGCTGAACTACAGAGGCAACATGACGAAATGGAGAACAAAATGAAGATCATACAAACTGGCCTTCTTGAGATGGAGAAGGCAAAGGATCACCTGCATAAATTGAGGGATGAATGTAAAACCGCTGAAGAAGAAAAGTCAGTGACCATGGAGAGTCTCGAGAGGAGGAGGAACAGCCTGGAAAAGGTTCAAGCTGAGCTACTGAGACATACTGAGGAGATTGAGCATCTCACACGAAGCTATGAATGCAAAATAAGAGAACTGCAACAAATTGAGACTGACATACAAAGACAGGCAAGGACTGTGAAGACTCAACAGGAAACTAATATTCAGAGTGAACAAGAAGACCAAGAAGTAATAGCGACTACAAAATCCATTCAAGAACATACAGAGGATGTTAAGCAGAAGAGAACTCAAGAGACACAAACTGAAGACCAGGAAAGAGATGCTCTACCACAGTATGAAGAGATAGATGCAATGAAAAGGAGAATACAGGACATGAAAGATGAACTTAAGAACAGATTACAAGACATACAGAGGAAGGAACTGGAAAGACTCGGAATGCAAAGAGAAAAAATCGAGTTGGAGCTACGGAAAGCTGAAATGGAAAGATATAATGAAGCCCTCCAGCATGAGAGAGAAACTGACAGACTCAAGCTCATAGAAAAGGAAAAGGAAATACTTCTGTTAAGGGAGTGTATGCTGATTGAGATCAATCGACTGAAGAGCGAAGAAACAGAAACAAGTAGTCAGCACTTGGAGATTATGGAGCGCCTCATTAGTGATGCAGCAGTAAGAGTGGACAGATTCAGACGGGTTACGGACAGAGCCGTGCAAACGCTGATACTGGAAGGAGATGGAGAGCAGTTTGGAGGAGCTCAAAGAGTGACGACTGAACAGATGGAAAGTGTCAGTGGAAGGATGGAGATTTCTATGCATGTCCTGAGTGAAGACAGGGAGGAAGGAGCAAGAGGAGAATCCCAGAGAGGGGGCGTAGTCGGACCAACTTCACGGAGATTGCGGCTATTGCACTGGATCAGACGGTGCTGCTGTCGCTGCTGTCCCAGAAACGCTGTGGAGGACACTGAGGACATTTTATAAACACAGGTCTTGTTCATTTAGAAGTACATTTTCATATGGAATTTGACAGAAACTGAGAAGCATGTCCTAAACAAATACAATCCATGCATTATCAGTATTTTTATGTATATATTTATACGTAACATTCTGTGGGAGAAAAACCCCCACAACATTTTAGTAATGTCTACAAAAAAAACAAAAAAAAGAAATACTGGATAACATAACTATTTAGTAATATAATTACAGATTATTTGCATAGTACCAAATGTTTAATGTTTATCAGTTTATATAATCCAATAAATCAGTTTTGCTTTTTCAAAACACAACAGATGCTTGCATAAGCCAGAATGAATCTTTCATTATTACATACAGTACATCTATGCAATTAACTCCTTAAATAACTCATTAGCATAATGTGTGTGGTACGTGTGTGTATGCATCTTCTGTTTTCACTAATGTGTCAGTAAAACACTCTGGGTCAAATGATCCTGAAATTATCGGTTTTGATTTCTCATGACAACTTGATATAATTATCTTGTGTTTTGTGTTTGGGTTCTTACACTTAATCCTAAATCTTTCCAGAAGGAACTGAAGTGTTGTGCACTGTTAATTGGCAACTTTGGAAATTTCTGCACAGTTATCTGTGAAAAACAAAGCTCACCTGTAATGTTCATGGTAATATCTGCTCATCCCTTTGGGGAAGAGAAAAGTGCAGATGAATGTGAGAGGATGGATATCCTAATCTTACGACTGCACCAGCATGAGTGCTCGAGGTCGTGTTTGTTGCATTCACATTCTTGCAGCTCGGCATGATGGGAGTGTTGCAGATGTGCCCTATATAACACGGATGCACAGAAGCTGCTGTGAGCGATGGATTTCACAAGGATCCACAGTATGCCAAAGAGTGAACTACACTGGTAGGATAATTACAGAGGCCATTTAATTACCAACTGAACAAAAGGAGAGCTTTGTGAATTTTAACCCAGTTTAAAAATGATGCAATGGATTTTTAGATAACACCAACAGGTCCATTAAGAGGATCAAACACCCATGAGTTCCAAAACAATTCTATTCTAATTTAATAAGTATACCCCAGACTCATGTATGCACACACACATACACAAAACATATTGTTTTCAAAGTATTGCTTGAATTTGTCTCGCACACAAACAAAATATTATTTGTCTTGCTTTGGAATGAAATAAACGTAAATTTGAACCTAAAACTTTTGTAATGTGTTCATATGCATTCACAGTGAGATTTGACTTACTTTTTATTGCTGTCATTGTGATCTATCTTACCAATATTCACCATTGTGACGACTCAAACCGTGGCATGTATGCTAGTTGGAAAAACAGAGAAGCACATGTTTAGAAATACAGTTATTTTCAGAATAAAAGATTTGTGTTGCACTTTAACACAAGTTAATACAGGATTTTGCTGTTCAGTGGCTCCATCAGTTTCTCCTAGCATATCTATGTGATGTTAATTTAATTTAATAAATCCGCTGAAGCCCAGGTGAACAAAGTGGCTCGACGCTAGGAACGTCTATGATGGCTGTTTAAAACCTCCAACCAAGTAATGCAATCACTCTGTTTTTGTCAAATTTCGCTGCTTTGATTTGAAAATCGCAGTAACAACAACAATAATAATAATAATGATATAGTATTATTATTATTATTATAGAAGAATATAAATCCCTGCACAATATTAGCCTATTTATTTCACTGTGGAAATAAAAACAAAAACAATCGTGAGAAAATTCCAGAGCTTTCCTGTTTTATTTTAGTAAATATTTACAGATCACATTCATCGGCGGTTTGTCATATTGTCAATAGTATGTTCCTGCACAACCGGAGGCTGCAGTTTCAGGACCGCAGTTCTAGGACCCTATTCTTTTGTAACAGCGCCACCTACCGAATTGGATCACTAAAGATGGACGACATGGACAGCAATCAGAGTGAGTAACTTTACCGATTTTCAATTAAGTTTTATTTTATAACCTTAAATCGATGCGAAGTTTACGTAGCCAACGTGAGAACTGCTAAGAAATAATAATTAATTCCCGATTGCTCGTTTTATTGATTATTACGATGTTCTTAATTCGTGGCCATGATTGTATTAAGATAAACTTTGCTGACATAATGACTACAATAAGTAAATGTAGCCAGCACATTAATTCAACTTAAAAAGATTATAAAAGCATGTTGATGTGAGATGTCAGATTTACCTGTGGCTTACTGTATTAGTGTGAAAACTTGTTTGATACTCATTGTTTTAGCATATTAGTTCTCCCCCCTGCTGGATGAGCCACATTTGGATGTGCTGTAAAACCAGGGGAAGCTATAGAAGAAGATGTATGGCCACTAAACCCCAAATGTGTCATGGTTATGCTCCTTCATGCAGGTCAGTGGATAATGTAATTTAGTGTAATGAATCTAAAATGCAAGGTAGAAGTTAACATTGCTGTATGTGTACACAAACACCCAGCATTTGAAATAAATCTGCGATTATTCCTCAGCATTTGTTCTTGGAGCAGTTGATACCTGCCATATTTCATACTGGCACATGTGACGAGATGTTTACTGCAAGCAAACCCAAGCAAAGGTTACTTTCTTCCCCTTTACTGCCAAGAGCTGTCACACGCCACATTCCTGCGCAAACATCCCGTGCAGGAAAAACACAGCACAGCTCGGTGTCCGGTACACAGCGCCTGTGGATTCTTTCTATTTATTATGCAAATGTTAAAACATATCACTAATTCGTTTTCTGCATGAGTGGCATCTTTGAAGCAAATGTCTGGTTGCTGGTTGACACACACATATTTAACATAATGGGTTTTCCTATTGCTGTCTGTCTGTGCAATCGGTATATTGGATGGAGACTAAATGCACAGGACTTTCATTTGAACAATAAGTTATATCGTGACTGGCTTGCTATGGTATATGGTAGGCTATAGGTTATACTCTGTATGAGGGATGATACCAATAGTTTTATACTGGTTTACAGAAAAAAATAACATTATGATTGAACCTTAATTGACGACATCAGTTCATATATCAATCCTTATGAATAGAGAAGCATTAAATGATGAATATCACTTAAAGGGCTTGTTAAACTGTAATTCATGGTAACAAATAATAACGCTTGTAGTAGTGAGTGGTGAGTGAAATATACAACGTCTGCATGTATGTTAACTAAATATTGATAATAAAATTAGTAAAATCAGCAAACGTGTTATATTCTTCTATGTTGTTTTGGATCATGTGCGTATGCTTTACACTCTCAGACACTCCAATGAATGCACCTGCACATGTGGTCGCCTTTTTTATCCTTTTTGTGAATATATATATATATATATATATATATATAAGTTTAGAATCTAACTGTGTAGGCAATTGTGCAGAGGAAATTACCTTCCTAACTTCAAAAAACTTTGGAACGCAGCAAAATTCTCTGAAAATCACAATGAACTTGTGTTTCTGGACTCCTGCATATGAATGGAAATCAATGGAATGAAAAATGCCAATGGCAGAAAAACTGTTTTAAAGGAAGAACCTTTTTACCTCTGCAAAGGATGTTTTAAAGAATATTTCAGCTGTTTTTGTTCATGCATTGAAAGTCAGTGGGATCCAATGTTGTTTGGACCCAAACGTTCATCAAAATATCTTTTTTTGTATTCTGCTCAAAGAGCCACTATACCGAGCCGTTATTTGCAAGACTATCCTCTCATTCAGTGCTTATGTTATTACTGTATGTTGTTGAGTGGTTTAGTGACTTTTTTTTCTGTGTGGTCATTCTGAAGCAGGTTTTATTCTCTTCCTTTCTCTTTTAGAGTGGGTTTTGGTTGCAATGCAATTACTAGCTGGGAAAGGTTAATGAGAACCAGACTTTCTTTGTCTCTCTCGCGATGTGTTTATATTGCATTTTTCAGCATGTAAGGGAATTTGTTCTGTGGAAATACCTTGTCTGTTCAATGCCAGATTCACATGGCCGGTTTTGGGTTTGCTGAGGAGAATCATTGAGTCTGTGCTGCTGGTCAGGAGGGGCAGTTTGTAAAACTGTGTGTTCTGCTGTTAGAGTCACAGACGAAGCATGTGAAATGTCAGTTCAGAGCAGAGAACAGCGGCCTTATCACGTCCTCCTTCTGTCCAGTGTCTCGAGGGGATGGATCCTATTGTTTCTAGAAAGAGGTGAGAGGACAAGGATAGATTATACATATACCCTCACACACACACACACACACACACACACATTCACATATATTCACACTGCCAGATATGTGTCTGCTCTATATCTCTCTCGCACACACTGACATTCAGAGAGTTGAAACAGATGAAAAGGTGCTTTTTCTTTCAACCCATAAAACACTCATCGTGAATCTTGTGTTCTGTTTGCGGTCAGTGGCTTTAATGAGGTCTGCTCGTGTGACTGCACAGATAAGGAAAAGCCTCCGAATGCTACAACGGTCTTATACTTGCCTCTTTTTACAGACCAGTCCAGACCAGCCATTCAGCACCTTGGAGAGCGGCGGCACGCTTTCATTGAAGTGCAGATTGTAAGAGATTGTGCTAATTCAGCATATATTGACCTTCATGTCTGCATGCATGATCACAGACATGCACTATAGACTCACTCACCAATTGTTCTTTCCTATGTGTGTGTGAATGAATGTCTTTAATAGAATTTATTTATTTTTTTTGTGAATGAAGTGCCATCACCATGCCTGTGAATATGTTTGTCATATTGCGTAAACGTGCGTAGTGAATGGAAACAGCATAGGTTAATTCCCATTGAATAATCCAAGGAGAGATACACACAGTGAAATTTACATATCAAAGGAAAGTTCTGTATAGTGATCATAGACAATAAACAACCACTGTTTCTCTGATATATAATTGAGATAATTGAATATGTAATGAGATTTATATCACTAGAACTTCATGCAGTGATCATGATACTTTTTTCTAAGAATTAAAGAGATAATTATATAAATATATAAAATAGTATATATTATTTTATATATTTTACATATTAATTAGTGCTGTCAAATGATTAATCGTGATTAATCGCATCCAAAATAAAAGTTTTTGTTTACATAGCATGTAAATATTTCAAAAAATATATGCTGTATTTGTGTGTATTATATATACATAATAAATATACACAGTACACATACATATATTATGTAAACAAACTTTTATTTTGGATGCGATTAATCGCGATTAATCGTTTGACAGCACTAATATTAATATATAAAAGTGTAGTGAATGTACGTATAAATAATATTTATATCATATAGTATTCATAATATACAGTACATATATTATCATATTTATAGTTAATCTTAAATTAAACAAATAGTGTATATATATAATATTTTATTTATTTATTTATTGTGTATAAAATAAAAAGTTTGAAATTATATATATATATATACATTAATAAAAGTGATCTATCTGTCTATCTTTATATAAAACGTTAATAAAAGTTAGATATGTTTTAATACATTAATAATTTTATACAATAATACAATAATATGTATTAATATGTATTTGTTTTGAAATAACACTGCTGTTTACACCCTAAGAAATGTAAATATTAATTGAATTAACACATAATGCAACACTTAGGCACACATTTGTATAAAAGCATTATCATAATGATTTATATGGGAGGTAATTCAGATGTTGTGTATTATCAGGTCCTTTCAGGCCCTCCTAATTACATACCTGCCCCATGTAATGAATGCAGAGTATGCTGATCTGAGTCTTTTTAAATATATAAAATAGTATATATTATTTTATATATTTTACATATTAATTAGTGCTGTCAAATGATTAATCGTGATTAATCGCATCCAAAATAAAAGTTTTTGTTTACATAATATATATGTGTGTGCTGTGTATATGTATTATGTATATATAAATATAAACGCATGCATGTTTATATTTAAGAAAAATATGTTATGTTTATATATTATATACATTAATAAAAGTGATCTATCTGTCTATCTTTATATAAAACGTTAATAAAAGTTAGATATGTTTTAATACATTAATAATTTTATACAATAATACAATAATATGTATTAATATGTATTTGTTTTGAAATAACACTGCTGTTTACACCCTAAGAAATGTAAATATTAATTGAATTAACACATAATGCAACACTTAGGCACACATTTGTATAAAAGCATTATCATAATGATTTATAACCAGTGGGAGGTAATTCAG